ACTGGAGTTCTGTCGATCCGAGCCAATATTTAATGTACTAAAATATGGGTTTGTGTGTCTTCCTGAACTTAATTGGTCGATCTGCCTTCACCTCAGCTCATATAGTTCCCAATTTTTTGCGCGTGAGCGAGGTGCGATCAAATGCTTTCCCTTTATCCTTTTGTAAAGGGTTAATGCATTTCTTGCCTAAGGCCTACACCTCCAGTAACTCTTCTCCTACGATGTGTCGCTGTATTCAGGGCATATGCTCTATCATGGTGTCATTCGAAACTCTTCCAAGGACTGAATAAGATGCTTATCTTTTATCTCGGTTGTTAGCGCCCATCTGGCCACATTCTTGTTATAGTTCCATACTCTTAGCTACTCCATGGTGAATCAAACACTACGATAGACCTTCAGGCTTTTGTCCAACTTCTGCTTTATAGACATGAGATGAGTCTTAGTTCGTCCGCAGACGCATGAGTAATGAAACTAATCGACGAACTTCTGGGAGAGATCTTGGTACGTCGCGATGGAGTGCTGGGGCAGGTCTTGGAACAACTGCCAGGCAGGGCTGACGAGCATTGCCGAGAAGTGCCGACATTGCTCTGCGTTGCTATATCCAGCCCTCCTCATAGCATCATGGTAAGATGTTGCATGATCCACAGGGTCTACCAATTCGTCATACTTATTGATTCGTAGTCGTTTGAAGCCCTTAAGGAGTTCCATGACCAACACGTTGGCGGTGAATGACGCTTGTGATAGGATGTGAATCCTCCAGCGGAAGCGATGATCGTCGTTCATCAATTTTGAGAAACAAAATTCATACGGTGAAAAGAAAATACAGAGAAAAAATTGTTTCCCTTACCTTTGAAGAACGTTTCTTCAATGGATTAATCCGAATACCACCAATAGAACTTCCTTACTATCCTCTAGGTATGAGAATACGCTTGTGGGAGCGTTCGATATGGAACTAGTGGGAATGGAAAAGAGAGAGCTTGAGAGAAAATCGTCTGGGAGTTCTTTTCTTGTTCAGTTTTTCATAGCAGAACAGTTCTGCATTCAAAACAAAATCAAATGACGTGGGGTATTAAACTCCCCACTCCTGTGCTAAAATGCAGGGGAGTTAATAATTAATAACATTAATTAAAATTAATATTATTAATATGTTAAATAATTATTAATTTAATTAATAATTAATTAATTAAATGTAATATTAAATAATTAACATTTAATTATTTAAAATTTAATTAAATATCCCATATTTAATTAAACTATATTCTCTCTTGTATAACCTATAGATTTAATGTGCATCTTATGTGTAATAATTTTTAACCTATAGTTTTAATATGAATCCAATTCATATTAATTATTTGAATCCTATTCAAATATTTCTCTCATAATGTATAGTATTAATTTTGAATCTCTATCCAAAATTAATAAACACTTATATATAATGCATCAATATACATTATATATATTCCCTTACATAATTTGAACATTTCAAATTATTTCATAATTTTTGATCCTCGTTTTACCCGTTATGAGCTAGCAAGGGGACCTAATGGACCTACAGATCAGAAGCTCCAACGATATGAGATTAATCGGTCAAACTTATTGACCGAGTTAATCAACATTCGTTAACTACGGGTCACTCCACTAAAGACTCGCAGTTGCACTCTTTTCACTGCAGAATGTTTTCATATCCATGGATATACGACCATTAATGACAAATCAATCTTTCACGAGTGCTCGTAGCTCAAGCTGGGTCAAATTACCATTTTACCCCTAAGTTACATCTTACTCCTTAAATACCACTACTACTTTAATGAACAACCCGGTTATGGTCCGACCAATTCGGAAGACCCTCTCGGGCCAGTGAGAGGATGGGACCACTTGTTCAAGTCCCGGAGTCAGCATTTAAGAGAACACTCATCTATTCCCTAAAGTCGGGGAGGAGTGAATTCCATCATGTGAAGTTATGTTTCCGGCTCCCCACTCGGTCTCGTCCCCAAAATGGTAGAAATATTGAGTCAGCGACTCGGGCCACTATCACCCATACAGATCAAAGGACGTGCCCTCACGGGCAGGAATCCATAACTCACTCAAGATTGAGAATGAGTTGCCTGGTCATCCTAAGAAATAGCAATCTATTAGTTAACGGTGTTGCATCTAAAAATTGGATATTTCGCAGTCCGATCTTATACAAACTCATTGTATAGGATACGCCCACTTGCATGTCTCCACATGAACGACCTGGATTGAGTTGTCTGTAATATTTACAAAGTGGGTCGTATCCATAGTATTGCAAGGATAAGGTACCCAGCCTTATCCATATACTATAGACCATTTAGCTTATTCCCGGGACATTATCTATTTGTATATCAGAGGTATATCAAATATATACCTAGTATATGAAGGATATATCAAATATATACCCAGTAATCAAATATGTAACCAATAAATATATTGTCCCGGTTACATGATAATAACCTTGGATGTTTAGTTTATTGGATTTTGGACAATGCAATGCTATGAATTCAACAACAAATTGATTGAATAAAATTTTATTGAATATACATTTATTTTTACATAAATACAAACTACAAGTTTAGGGCAACACACCCAACAACTTGTGCTATCTTCAGAAGCTCGTAGTGGACCTTGGGTCCTTTATTCTCTGTTTCTAGTTCGTTTTACATCTGGTTGAAGATTTGCTCCTTCATTTGATTTAGCTCCTCCATGTCGATCCTAGTATAGGACTCGCTCGGGTGGCAGGACGTTCTGGTGCTAGTCTAGGACTCTACATTCGACCCCGTCATCCCATGCCTGAAGTGTTTGGCATTGATCTTGTCTCGGAGGTCTTTCGCACCATTAGGAAGTCCGATCGTTGTGAGGGGATCCTTTCCATTGAAGCCATCCATGGGTTCCCTTTCAATGGTCCCCCTGGTGCCTCCATTCTCGACTGTAGGGTTGGCTGCCTTCCTAGTAAGATCGATCAAGATGATGTGAACTAGTCTCTCCATTTGGTATGACATTTGGGCGCCCATCGACGTTACCCCAGCTTAGAGTCTCAAGCTTCTTCTATGAGGGTTCACCACTTTTTGCTTTTCGAGGTGACCATCGGGCGGAGTGGATGACCCGCGTCCTTGGCTCCCCTAACTTTGTGGAGAGTAGGAGGGGTGGTGGCTGCCTTAGCGGCATGTTTGTTGTGTCGATGCTTTTCGTCGATGGGAATGACGATTCCTTATCGTAATACATCATCTTGGTGTCCTAACAAGGGAAACGAGCTTTCAACTGGCCTGAAAGTGTCGTTCCTACAAACGACGCCAACTGTTGACGACAAGTTTCTACGAGGTCCACGTGTCTTTCAGAAGTGTGCATTCTCGAAGAGCCAATGAGCCTGAACTAGAAAACTCAATGCCGCTGTGGTGCCCTGCTTAATACACTATGACAATCAAGTCAGTAGTTGGAGTAAAGGAATAGGAGTACACCTTAGGGGTTTTAGTTACAGATTTTTCACTACCATGGTAGTGATTGGGGCTTTCCCTTTTATAGGCACGGGTGGCCGACTAGTAAGGACGGTAGTTGTGGGCACATGTACACGTCGGGCTATATTGGGTTCTGATGGGTGAGGGTGGACGCCTCCGACAACAGGTGGATGGCGGCTCCATTTGCCAGTCTATTCCCTCCAGCTGGAGATCGCGGGCTCTAGTCCTCGATGTTCTTCCCATACAACTCTGGTGGTGACATGCTCTTATGCACGTGCAGTGTACATTCCTAATTGCCTGTGGTCCTATACCTCGCTGCCACCCCCAACGCTCGACACGTATTTTGCTCAGATTTCTCCCTCAACAAAACATATAATTAAACCTAACAAATATCTTTAACCTAAATATAAATAATTAAACATAATAAAAAATTAATCAACATATGTCAAAAAAAGAAGCAATACGTGCAAAGGAAAGAGAAAAAAAACACTACCAACGGCGCGGCGAATGAGGCTGCAAATAAAGCAGCAGATGACGGTGAATGGAGTTGTTAGTGGCGGCTAGAGGAGAGGGTACATACGATGAAGAGGAAGAAAACAAAATAGAGGTAGAAGATGAAGGGTTGTCGGCAGCAGCAAAGGGGGAGGTAGAAGATGGAAGAAACAAAATATTGGAAGGAGGGACCACGGGTGGGACATGTTTTGATTTTTTGTTCCCACGTGAAACCCTAGGAAGTCGCAGCCATCATCAGATGGAAAGTTGTGATTCTCGTCACTCGAAATGTAGCTCCAAGTTAGGACAGCTAAAGCCACGTCACACAAAAGGCATAGCCGATGTTTGCGACTCCAGTGAAATCGTACCCGTTAGATGCGATTTCATCCTAAAATGCATCAAATGACTGCAATTTCAACTGAAATCTTGTAATCGCAGCCATCCTTGCGATTTATTAGAAATCGCAGCCATAGCTAACCTACTTTTGAAATTATTTTTAGACCTATATTATTTCTATCATTTGTTTTTCAAAAAACAACGTTTAGAAAAAAAAATCTAATTTTTCACCGATATAAATAAACACCAACTTACAGATTGTGATTCAAGGTTAAGAAGTATATAAATAAATGTTTAAGATGTTAGGATTTGTTTATCTTTTATTATACAATATTTAAACTAGTAATTCAAACCACACGAATCAACCTAACTATAAATGCTTAAGTTACATTATCAAAAGTCAAAGAGAGCAAATCTCATAGGTAATTGGCATATACTTCCAACAATGAAATTGTGAGTTCGTAAAAAAGAAGTTACATTGTAGAAAAAAAATCATACTTTGATAGCTGCAATATTTGTCAAAAAAAGAAAAAAGAAAAAAAAGTGTCAGAAGACTTTCTTTTATTATTATTATTTTTTCCGAGAGAACTTCAAAGAATAATTATAAAAACTGCAATTTATTGTATGACAGATATTGCCTTTCCGAATGTAAAAGTAAATCAGTACTAAAAAAAACAAAAAAATAAAAGAAAAAAAAAAGAAAAAAAATCTATACAAAATCATCTCGCTTTCCCGGCCGGTAGCCACTTCGTTCCTGTTCTTACCAAAAACCCTTAGAAAAACCCTCGTTTCAGAAAGGCAGCTTCAGGCCTAGAAACAACCTTCAAGTCCTCCAATGGCGGCGAAGAGCCAGCAGAACAGCAGACCCAAAAAGAGGAAGCAAATTTCAGGCAACAAGGCCGCCTCTCATGGCTCCGCTTCGAAGAAACCAAAGTTCGTCGATAATAAGCCCTCCAAGTCCCCCGGCCAGGGGATTGTTGGCAAATCTTTTAAATCATCCAAACAGAAAGAAAATCAGCATTTCAAATCCAAGGTTGAAAAGTCAGAAGCTCGACAGGAGAATCCGGTGCCAACTTCAAAGCGAGAACGTCGCATACAAGCTAAGGTTTGTTTCTGCCATCGTATTTCATACATTGGTTGATTTTTTAAGTTTAGGTCAATCATCTGTTTATTTTGACAGATTTATATTGCATTCAAATGATTCTGTCCAATGAGGAAATTACTCTAGTATTCTTTTGTGATTCCATCAGGAACTTGCAGAGGCTAGGAAGAAGAAAAGGAAACGGCATTATGATTTGGAACATGTAAGTTCTGTAACTTCAATTATTTGCTTTTTCCCCTATCGTTGCTCAACCCTTAAGTTGGCGCCGAGGATTATCTAGGGGCCCCTGCTTAATATATGCCATCTCATGATAAAATCATGTTAAACTATATTTCAAACCGAATCCAGCATTTGGAGAAATCGAACTGGCCTACTGGGTTGGTCAGTTCATCAGTTCAGTTGTTTGGTTTGAGGTTATCAGGTCGGGTTCGTGGACTCAAACAAAAGAGAAAAAAAAAAAACAATTCTTGGGAGGCAGGTGGGGAACTTGGACTGAGGGACTGAGGCAGGTGAGGGGAGGCTGAGAGTGAGGGGAAGGCAGAGAGGATGGGCAACCAAAACCGACTACCAACTTCGGTTTCGGTCACTTTTCCCAATTTCAATTTTGCACCCATATGTGCAGGGATTGTTTTGAAATTTAGTTACATGGTCATGTTTTCATAACATCCATTTTTATTTTATTTCATTAGAAAGTCATGCTATTCGTTGGATGAGGTAATTAAAGTATTCCTTCGATTTGGGTCCACCGGTCCAGTTAGTAACTTAACTGCAGACTTCATGGAGCCAATGATGGATAGACTAAGTTTTCTTTAATCTTTCTTGTCTCTAACTATCTGTATGTGCAGGAGCTTGCACATCTATGGGAGAAAATGAGGGTTCGGAATATTTCCAAAGAAGATAGATCCAAGTATGACATCATAGCTGAAGTTACTTTGTCCTACTGTTTCCCATACTCTCAACATTACTTTTCTTATTTGTCGATTATCACAATTAAATTTTCAGATGGGTAAGTAAAGCATTAGAAAATATGAAGGGGAAGATCCCTGAAATTGCAGGCTCCCATGTATCATCTCGTGTTCTTCAGGTGAATTTTATGTGCAATAGCTCTTTTGCTCTTCGGAAATTTATATTTTACCTGTTCACTTTTAATTGTGGTTATCTGGTCTTTTGCTATAGACTTGTGTTAAACACTGCACAGATGCCGAGAGAGAAGCAGTGTTTGAGGAACTTAAGCCTCATTTTCTCACTCTTGCCTGTAACACTTATGCAGTTCATCTGGTGAAGAAAATGTTAGATAATGGTATGTTCATAACTCACAACCTTTGTGCCTTCTATTGAATTTTGTAATTTGTGCCAGTGATACTATATTACATACTGGATCACTAATTTTATATTCCCGTGTTTTTAGCCTCAAAAAAGCAGCTGGCAGGGTTTATCTCATCTCTACACGGACATGTTGCCTCTCTTCTTCGTCACATGGTTGGATCTTTAGGTAATTTAAAGGTTCCTGGTGCTGCCTTGTTTAAGAACTACTGCATGGCTTATCTTATAAATTACCTGAATTTAAATTTTCAATTTTCAAATCTTCTGCACTGCCCCTTGTTCTTTGGATTTCTCTGTTCAACCAAGTCATAGTTAACGTTTCCCTAACTTTACTGCTTTTTTCTCTTTGCTTTATGAACCAGTAGATGCATTTATTTTAATGAACTTCTTTTAATTTGCCGTATATATATCTAATAGCAAATTTTCCATCTATTTTTTTTAAGATGGACTTCTACCCCCAACCTAAATGGTAATTTGTTTTTTATCAACTGAATCTTTCCTCTGTGTTGTTTCAAGTATGAATTTTAATATTATCAATGTCATTGCTAATCTCCATCAGTGCTAATGTTGTATTTGAATTGTCGCAGTTGTTGAACATGCATACCATTTAGCAAATGCGGCACAGAAACAAACACTTCTACTGGAACTTTATTCAGTGGAACTTCAGCTATTTAAGGATCTGGTTTCGATGAAAGAAAGCAGGTAAAAGAAATTGGCTATTCTGATTATTTTGTACTTTTCTTTCGCAGTCTCCCTCATTGGGAGTATGTTATGTTGCAGGTTAGTGGATGTAATTTCAAAATTGGACATTCAAAAAGCTTCAGTCTCGAGACACATGACATCAGTAATTCAACCAATTTTGGAAAAAGGGATAGTTGACCACTCAATCTTACATAGGGTGCTGATGGAATACTTTACCATTGCTGATAAGGTGTTTGGAAATTATCTATGTTCTTTTCGAGTTCTAAGAACCATTCAGAAAGTTTTTAAGGAGCTATAATTTCTTTCTAAATATCTCTCTTTTTTTTTTTTTTTCTAAATCAATTTGTTGGAAGTCATCTGCCGCAGATGTAATCCAACATTTGTCCAATTCACTTCTTGTTAGAATGATTCACACTAAAGATGGATCAAGGATTGGTATACTTTGCGTAAAGCATGGGAGTGCAAAGGTTTGATTGCTTATATCTTAAATTGAAAAGAAAAAAGACCAATTTGTATATCATATCCTAACACTGAACAAGTTTGTTTGGGTTACCTCAGGAGAGAAAGAAAATTGTCAAGGGAATGAAAGGCCATGTGAAGAAGATAGCACATGAGCAACACGCTATTATGGTAAGCATTACGTTTCAAACCGACTTAGAAAACACGATCTGCTCTTGGGCCATGAAAATTAGACTGATTTCTCAATATCTTATTTAATATGAAGTTTATAGATACTATCTCCTTGTATGTTTTGTTTTTTTCTTGAGAATCAACCGTATTAGTGAGCCTTATACCCAAGAAGACATCAAGGATCTCCATTTATTTCTCCCAAATATCCAATCCTTTACCACTGGGGCTTCCCTTGGGAGCATTATCACAAATGTGGTCGAAATTACTTAGAATTGTGATATTTATTCTCTTATTACTTTGGAACTGAAGTAAAATTATTTTGATTCAATTAAGAACTTTGGAGTGTTCAAAGGTGCCATCACACGTACAAGACTTAGGCACTGTTTTTTCGAGATTACACTTCCTTAATGGTTAACTCGGTTGTTCTCATCAGGTTTCTCTTATGTTCTTTTCAGGTGCTTGTGTGCATTATCTCAGTTGTTGATGACACAAAGCTCATTAAGAAGGTTACTTCTTAACTATCCGTTACAGACTATGTTCTACATGTTTATTGCATTCTGCTGTACATATGATAATTAGATTGTCACGTGTTTCAGATTATCATTAGTGAGCTTGAAAACGATTTGAAGGAGCTTATTTTGGACAAGGTCTCTATTCTTCTTGCCTACAATCATATCAAAGTCATCATTTCTCCATATTGAAATGTATCACCTTCATATGTCTAAATTTCTTTACTTCAATCTAATTGTCAGAATGGAAGGCGTCTATTACTACAACTGCTACATCCAAATTGTTCCCGCTACTTCAGTCCCGACGACCTCGCTTCTTTAAATTTATCAATACCTTCTCTTTGCAACAAGGTATCTTGAAAGATATTAATATTTCCATTTTGTTCAACTAATTTTCTTATTTTTGATGCAGCCACCAACATTATAACTAAAATTTACCTTCTTCTCAGAGTGAGTCAGAGGTTGAAAAAGCTGAAGAGAAAGTGGAGAGTGACCTGGGCGAAGCAGTTGGTGAGGTTGATGGAAGCAAAGTTTCTGGGGAGGGCCCTGAAGTTGTTGAGTGTGGTAAAAAGGATCCTCTTGTCAGAAGGCATGAGTTGTTGGTAGATAGTGGGCTTGCTGAGGTTTGTTGTTTTTACATTGTGATTTTGTTATATTTCTACTCTCTCTATCTTTGAGTAAATAAAAAAATGGGATACGAAACAAAATGAGGAACACTTGATGGCTGGGGGTAGAGAAAGCCCCCTCCGAGAGAAACCGAAAAAGCATCTCCAATCCAAGTTAATCAAATAAATGTTGTGAATATAAAAGAACTTGTGAAGGGCTCTCAGAGACCGTATACTACACAATATCACAAAAAGCAACAAAATAATTTTCCTGAAGATCCTATGATCTCTTTCTTAACTACAAAATCTGCACACTTCTTAAACACTTTGCTTTGTCTTTTAACTACCATCACTTCCAATTACCAATCTTTTCTAGAAATTTCGAGGATATTTTGAAAGTTTCACAATACCGGTTTCTGCTGTGTTGTCAACTCTCTAATGTTACCGTTTCATCCAGTTGTTACCATTGCTTTAATCCTGCTCGCATAAATTTAGTTTGCGTAATCACAATCAGTGACCTATCTATTTATAACTTGGAGAGCTTTGCATCTCACAGAAGCTCGTAGATATATGCATCAATGATGCTGGGGAAATATTAAGGTCAAATTTTGGCCGAGAAGTGATGTACGAGGTATATTTATACTGAAACTAAATAAAGTTTTCTTGTTCCATCTGTCCTTCAAGCTGTTCCTGATCCACTGTGTCTGTCTGCATTCAGGTTGCGACTGGGGGTGCTGATGGCATTCTTCAACCAAAATTAGGTGAAAAGCTGAGTGCTTTGTATGAAGCTATAGCTTCACTAGCAGCAGAGCCTAAATCTGAAGAAGCAGCCTTGGGAGAAGAGCATGTCCTCGAAAATTTCCACTCTAGTAGGACTATAAGAAAGCTAATCTTGGACTGCCCTCCCTTTGCCCTCACTTTGTGGAACAAAGCAATTGAAGGGAAATCCAAAATTTGGGCCCAAGGTCACAGGTTCGTCGTAAATTTTCCATATTTCAGGCTTCGAAGTTAGTTTACTGGAGACTTGGGGGGGTGTAAGCAAGTTGGTTCAGACCTTTTTCTCCCTCAAAACCAACCATGAAACTGTTTTTGAAAAACCAAATTGATCGAAACCATATCAAAACCGAACCAATTATTTGTTGGCCTAGTACTTCAGAAAACTGAACCACTAACAATGATGCCCATTGCCGGATAGTAGGTTTTTCAGTTGTTTATAACTCATTTTTTCAAATTTTGAAATTACAGTGGTAAGATAGTTCAAGCTTTCCTGGAATCCTCGGACTCTGGTGTACGTGAGATTGCAAGAGTAGAGCTGCAGTCCATGATAGACGAAGGTACACTCAAAATCCCAGACAATAAGCAGTCTGCCGACAAGAGCTAAATAAATGTCAATTTTGGTCGATGAAAACAGAGCTCAAATCTCCACAAAACGTGCACATCCCAGAGGTACTGTTAAACTACATATCTGTTTAATTGCTGTCTCTGGACTCGGGTCTGACTTATGAGGTAGAAATGTACCATAAAAGTAGACCCTATTTCTCAGAAACCATTTTATGTTTTAAAGTTTTCAGCCAGCTTAAATGTTGTCTTTTGCTTTGTTGTTCTATGCATTATATAAGTTATAGATTTTTGTCCAATTCTTTGAAAATTGTGCTCTTTCCAATCCATTGGAGAGATTAGATTAGGTAACATACTCAGCATATCAGTCGTTGGCTTTTCGACCATCGTTAGATGTAGATTTGAAATTTGTATGTTCCTCGAGAACCATGAGATATAGTAATGCGTTTTGTAGTTTCTCTCTTATACGTCCAACGATCTGCCACATTATTCCAGCATGCTCCGATCATTTTCTCTAGTTTTTGGCTATAACAAACAACTCTATCTAAGCCGAGGTATCGATTTTTTCATTTGTTTGTTTTATGGATTTGGCTTCCATCTTACGTATTGACGATGAGTTATTAGGTTGGATTTAAGTGTTATTTTAAACTTAGTTCAAATGATTGGATTGTTAATTTGTGATAAAGCAGTGGGACCCAAGTTTGGGTAATCGCAGGTACAGACTGGAAAATAATTTATGAAGCAGTTATATGAGAATTTTTCTATTAAAAACTTTTTATTTTTTTGAAACGCTATTAAAAACTACTCTCCTTTATTATTTGTCAAAATCAATAATATTTAAGAATGATATAGGGCTCATAGAATAGAATAATATACTATTGGTGGTCTATATGCTTTTAGATTTCATTTTGGTTTATGTACTCATCAATTTTGGTTTTTATATTTTTAACTTTTGTTCATTTTAATCTCTGTAGCTTCGAAATGTTCTTTTTAGTCTCTGTATTTTTAAAAAAGGGATAATTTTGGTTCTTTTATTTTCATTTTTATCTTATTTATTTTTTTCATGACGCTTCACAAATTAAATTTAGCTATAAATTTGTAATAAAGAGTTTGTGTAAAACAAATTTAAAGAGTTTGTGTAAAAATTTGTGTTGAAATTTTAGAAATAGGGATCACTTTTCAATGTTTTAATAGCATAATTATCAAGATTTATAAAAGTTAAAAATACAAGAATCATAATGGACCCCACTAAAATAGTATTTAAAATAGATAATTTAATGATGTGTTAGATGGTAAATGAGAAAATTCTGTATTAAAATTTCCATGGTGGGAAATATGGTTCCAGTGTTACAGGAGTCTACTAGTGTTCAAAATGTTGATGTCGATGAAAATATTGAGGTCTCGATTTTACTGGATATTTTGGAAAAAATAATGGAAATTGATGGAAATTTTTTAAATTAGTAAATAAAATTTGAATTATAACTTAATTAGTCTATAATTGATCACCTTTAACCATTAAATATGTAAGAATAAGACCATTTTACTTATGAAAATGTCGATGTCGATGGAAATATCGAAAAAAAGATTTTTTCTTTTAATGAAAATTGATGGAAATTATTTGAATATGTAAAGTGAACTTTTGACTTCTTTAGTGTTTTTCATAATAGGATTCATTTGGAAATTAGATAATTACTGATTTGGTTTCCAAACACATTTCTAAATTCTAATTAATTCGCATTTACTTTTTGACTACTCCTCTTTTCAAAATCAATCATCAATCTAATGTTCCAATCAAATTGACATAATTTTCAAACACCTCAATCTCATGATTGTGTCATTCATCCAAATTATCTACTAATGGGATCCATATGTGCTTCATATTCTACTCATTTGAACAACTATTTTCAAAACTTTCAGTCTAGGATAGCCGAGGAGAACTATTGTAATTTATATCAAAATTATCAAGATAGTGCACTAGATCCTTCGAGATCATCTTTTTGGTATTAATTAAATTACCTATTCTACTCCATGTTTCACCACTATTTGTATATAATAATATTTTATTTTTTTAAAAATTCTAAGATTAGTTCAATCTTTATATATGTCAATATTTCACACATATTGTTCAATTGTATATTTAAGGACTAGATTGGATTAGAAATTATCAATAAAACAAATTCCAAATCTTATTAGTTATACTTTATACAGTATTAAAATTCGAATGTTTGATTGAACAGACTAAGATTACAAGATCGAAGTTATGAGAAGTTATAGACTTTGGTGGCATAGTAGGAAGATGATGAAAATAAAATAACCTTAAAAGAAGAGAAAAAAAACATGTCGACATTTCGACATGTCGACGAGATAGGGGGAAAATAGACTTTTCTCCCCTATGTCGATGTCGACATGTCTCTCGACATTTTGAACCCTAGAGTACTCCTTTTGTTCATCCTATAAATTTTTCTTTTATAAATAAATCTTTAATGCTAGTAAATCTCATATTATTTATAATATAATGTTAATGCGTCAGAAAGTGGATAGGAGTATCATCAATATTTGGATAGCACTGATTTTTTTTTCATAGTACAACTCTCGTGGGTGGCCTATGCTCAAATAGAACCTTCAACCTTACGAGGCTCAAGCATCTAAAAATCATTTTTAAAACTTACCTCTAAACATACAAACTATAGTGTTTCTTCATCTAGGTGCTATAATTGAGCACCAAACAAAGCTTCGAAATAATATTTCGATAGAGGACGAAAAAATTATCTTATTACCAATAAATAGAGACATTTTTTAAAAAACTTTTATTTTAGGGATAAGTACACATATAGCCTCTTGAAAGAACGTAATTAAACAAATAGATTAAATCTTTGTAATTTACATATTTGTCACAAAAGAGATCCGTTTAAGATGACACCAAAGTGAAAATTAGCAAGATACCAATGTTCATATATTTTTAATAAACAAAGAAATATATTACAAATATGAAAAAAACAAAAAATTAAGTCACCTCCACATACCCGAGCCCGACCCTCAACTAAACATTCGATTTTCACGTAGACGAAGCATGCACCCGACCTTTGGGCAACCCCATGGTAGAAGCACATGACTGGGAGAGGGATGGACAGCAGATTGGAGAAGAAAAAGGGAGGCTTTTACTTATTTATTATTTAAAAAAAAAAATCATGACATCAAGGTTATATTAACATTTTAGTAGGAAAAACTCCAAATTTTATAGAGTATATGTTGGGTAGTTTATGGTATATGTTTATCACAGGGGTATATTATTATCATACTAGTATATATTATATAATATTTTGGAGAAGTATATTTTTATCATACTAGATAAAAATAAAAAACGGAATATATTACATAATAATAGTGGTCGGAATATCGGAATATTTATATAACCTAAAAGTTTAGTATTAACCAATAAAAAATATATATTATATAGTCTTTGTGAGGAGTATATGTTATCATACTATTAAAAAAAACGACGGAAAAAGAGATGCCCAATAAAAAAATGCCATAAAGAAAATAATATACACCACATGTAGGAAGAAGAAATTCGGAAATTAGATAAGAGAGATTTTTCAAATTTTGATTACAAAAGGGATACAAGAAAAATATGGAATTTTAAAGTTGGGGAGAGATTTGAAATTCAAATATGGAAAAAGTAGATAAAAATCAAATCTAATAATTTAAATAAAAAATAAATTAAATTGAATAAAACACAAGCCATTCGTAAAATATAGTTTCACAAAATATAGTTTGTAATTTGACCTAGGTTTGAGAATTCCTCTCTATTTTATTTATATGTTCTTTTGTTAGGCTCGTAATCAGCTATTGGCCTACGTCTGTGAATGTCAGTTCAATTATATGCGCATATTGAGATTTGTCATTATCTTTCTGTCCACCTTCAATAATCCCATTAGTCAAAGTAATCATAATTCATCGGTTATTACATATATCTCCAACTAAGKGTTGTGAGTTCGATCCTCCATCCACATGTTGTACTAAAAAAAATACTAGTATTCATGATGGAGACTCAACTTTGTTGGAGTTTTGTTTGGAAGTTATTTTCTTAATTGAATTGTCGTTTTCGTCTAACTGTGTTGTTTATGTTTGTGTCTTTATGTTGTTTGTGTTGTTCTTCTCTATATTTCGATTTTTTTCAGCGTATGATTTATTTGTTTATGTTGCGCCTTAATCTTACATGGTAAGATCCATATTTTTCCGTTGCAATAATACATATATATATCCATTTATAAATAATAATAATAATAATAAAACTCGTAAATTTGAGCGTTTAATAAATAATATATTTATTATTTTCACTAAATAAGACATTTATTATTTTCAAAAACTTTGATCCCTCAAAATGCCACATCATTTTTTTATTGTCACATCATCTAAAAATTGACACCTCAAATGCCACGTCATTTTTTCATTAGTCAAACAACGATAAAATTGATTCAGGGACCATTTGGGGATTAAAGTGTCGCTTTTTGAACTTCAAAAACCACATTGACACCGAGCTCAAAACTCAATGACTAAAAAGTCTATTTTACCCTAAATTATTTTATATTCTAAATTATATTTATAATTAAAAATTAATATATATATATATATATATATATATATATATATGATAAATACAAGGTCTTTTAGATTTGGGACCTTAGTCAATCGCCACACTCGTCCATAGCTTAACCTGACTTTGAGAACAAGAAAAAAGAGAGAGAGTATTAAAGTAATTTTTTTTTTCAAATCTAAGATGAAATAACTCGGGGTAGGTAACCTTTTCGCCCTATATTGAACACATTTATTTATAAGATTTCTATGACAAGATTTTGAATGATTTTTTTGTATAAAGAGTAGATGTAATATTTAAAAGTAGATTTTGAATTTTTTCTTAAACGTAGAAAATTAATATGACAATCACTAAAATAGAGACGCGGGAAACTAAAACAAAATTTTTAAAAATTAAAGTATAAAAATGAAGTTTGTATGTGTTAGATACGAAAATCTACCAAGGCATGGAGGACGATCTGTCAAGTCGTCCGTGAGGTCGTCGAGCTTCACTTGAGAATAATCCGGAGGTACCTGCAAGGAGGTAAGCCACTATGACGCCCAAGTTAGTATATAATTCGGGCTCAACAGATCAGCGTCAGATAGATTTCGTACTTGAGCTAGCGGTATGGTGTATTTATAGCGGTCAATGGGGTAGATAGTCGACCCATCGGGGTTTTCCCCTACTCGTGCTGGGCGCTCCTGAGCCACCTCCGGTCTTGCTGTTGACCCTTCCGTTTCCTATCGCGCTAGGTAAGATTGGGATTCACATCACATCAATTGGTGCTTTCGAATCACCCCAGAAAATAAAAGGAAAATAATAAATGTTATGTTGGCTCTGTTTTCGTGACTAAATAGCAGTAAACAAACAATGAATACTTGGCGCTT